GTATGTGTGTGTGTGTGTGTGTGTGTGTGTGTGTGTATGTGTGTGGTGTGTTTGTGTAGGTGTGCACAATGGAATTCTTATATGGGAGAACATGTAATTTTTTTTGAGATTAGATCACCTCAAATACTTTCCAGATCCATCCACTTTCTTCAGATTATATTTTTCCTTACAACTGAATAGAATTTTACACACACACACACACACACACACACACACACACACACACACACATGCAAATTCCCTCATCAACATCTAGGCTGAATGAAATTGAATCATTTTAACAAAACTGTTACACTTACCAGGTTAGAATAGACTCTATAAGGACATTGGGGTTCTGAGAAGCTTTAATGTCCCATAAGACATTTTGTAATGTGCTCTTACTTCAATATTTTAAAGTGAAAATAATAATTCTATGAATGGTTATAGAACTATTACCAGGGTTTGATGAATTCAATGAATTATTTCAAGCCATTTCTAGTGGTAGACAAACTGAAGTCTAAATCCAGAACTGACAACTGCAAAGTACTTACATCATTTGATGAGAAGAAGTGTGGAGTAGGGAGCCATACTAGAAGTCAGAAAGATGGCTCAGCAGTTCAGAACATTGGTCTCTGTTCTAGAGGATCCAGGTTCCAACACCCAAATGGTGCCTCATAGCCATCTGTAACTCCAATTTCAGGGAAGCTGGTTCTTCCTTCTGATATCTTTGAGCAATTGGCTTGCATTTGGTGTACAGAAAAGCACAGCAAAACAACCCTTCATCATATCCATAGATTTGTGAGTCACTTTTTAAGATATTTATACTCATATTTACTTACAACAGTGGCTTAAATGTAAAGCAACCTATCAACCTAATGATTTTTAATAGCATCTTAGTTAGGGTTTTAATTGCTGTGAAAAGACACCATGATCACAGCAACTTCTATAACAGGAAAACATTTAATTGAAGCTACCTTACATTTCAGAGCTTTAGCTCATTATCATCGTAGTTAGAAACATGATGCCATGCAGGAAGGCATGGTGCTGGAGAAGGAGCTGGGAGTTCTGCATCTTGATCTGCAGACAATAGGAAGTGAACTGTGTGTGTCCATACTGGGCATATCTTGAACATAGAAGACCTCAAAGTGTATCCCTATAGTGACACACTTCCTCCAACAAGGGTACACCTGCTCCAACAAGGCAACACCTCCTAATACTACCACTTTCTATGAGCTTATGAGGGCCAATTACATTCAGACTACCACAAATGGTCAATAAGATGAGTCAAACATGATACATACATATCAATATCTATATCCATATGTAGGAGGAAATTCTGATACATGCTATAACATGGATATAATTTGGAGACATTATGTTGGGCAAAATGAACCATTAACAAAAGGATAGATACTATGTAATTCTATTTATGAAGTACTCAGTAATCAAACTCACAAAAATGAAGAGCCATGGTTGCTCAAGCCTGGAGGGAACAGGAAATAAGTTGAATTTCTATCTTGCAAGGTGATCAACTTCTGTGAGTGGATGGATGCTGGCAATAGATGTATAAACCATTACTCCACTTATCGCCACTGAACCATACACTAAAAGGTGGCTCAAAATCACTGGGTTGAGGATATAACTCATCAAACCTCATGAAGATGCTTTAATTTGTAACAAGCATTGACTAACATAGAGGGTCACAACTGGTAGACATTCAGAGAATAAGTGTCTAGAGAATACTCAGCACTAAAAGGGACATGTATATCACACATCCTCCTTCCCAGGATAAAGGATCATTATGCAAGAGGGGCAGAAAGACCATAAGAGACAGAGGTAGCAAATGAATACAAGAAAAATAGTGTTTTTTCCAGGTACAACAGAGTAATGGTACATATTAATTAACAATGATTGTGACAGAGTACACAAGACGTGCATGAGCTCAAACTAGACCAAATCTCATCATGGAAGGAGTGATTGAATGTTAAATCAAGCCCATAACTGAGAATCTATTGGTAATTGATAGTGCTTGGGGGATAGAGTGTTAGTTTATTAAGGGTGTGTCCACTGCTAAAGTAATTCAGTGGTTTACTATATAAACAATAGTATGTAGATAGTATTAATTGGAAGGATGTGATCAAAATATAATTATAAAATTTTCAAAGAATTAGTAAGACTATCTTTGAGTCCTTTTGATTTGCATTTCCCTGATGGCCAAGGATGTTGAACATTTAAGAGTTTGTCGGGCTTTTGAGATTCTTCTGTTGAGAACCTAGCACATGTCAAACCCTTAAAGAAAACTGACTTTCCCTTTTCCAGTCAATATCAACTCCTCCACTAGGGATGGGACTTTGTTCTCCACTCCTTTCACCATGCTTGTTTGAGAGTGTCCCTGAGCACAACTTATTGCTCATACACATACTTGGGGAGGAGACGCCTAGAGACTCTGACCAGTTTCAGAGACTTATTGAAGCTGTTCTGAGCTTAAGGAGAGCTTCCTACTATTCCACCTTACTTTAGAAAACCTATTGTTTTACCTCCCTATAATTGTTCATTGTTTTAATGAGCTCTCCTCTTAGATGGAAGGTTTTAATCACAGAAGGAACTGTCCCACAACAAAAGCATAGTTCAACCTACTCTCTAGAGAAGGGCAATGTGGCCTTCTGCTCTTTACTGTGGTCAGCACAATGCTCAATACTTTCATCTATAGTCTGAGAAACAAAGATACCAAAGATACCTTCAGGAACAAAACAAAGACAACACAACTATAAGCATGAAGGTTATCCTTCTTGCTAGGGCCTTGACTACATTTTTTAAATCATTCAGTTATAGACATGCTTGTATGCTTATAAATTTCACTTGCATCCATCTTGTAATCCTCGGCACAATGAAGTGTTGAAGAAATGACATTCAATTATTATTGTTCCCCTGTTGTATGATATAAACCGTTTAGTGCATACATGCTATAGCACTTGAGTGTTTGTTACTTTTCTGTAGTGTATTTTGTATCTTATTTAAGAAATTTATTTCATTGGCTATTTATGAATTGATTGTGGGGAAATAACACAATTTTGGTAATTTAGTTTGATTTTAAGTTTGTCAAGCCATTGATACTGATTGAAGATTTAGAAGGGTGAGATTCCTGGATTTATGAGCAAGATTTTATAATTACATTTTTAGTAAGAGTTATTTCTAATTTCTTGATAAATCACCAATGGAGTATATATAAACAATCCTATAAACCATACTGTTTTTTACATAGTTGCAATGCTAGGCAAAATATTTGAGAGTTTCTCTAATATATTTTGAGAAATATGAATCCTTTTGGTTACATGTTACCCTAGCAGGTGTGTTGTCTCCTAGGGAGGGCAGGTTCTTTACAGAACCCTCCCTCAGATCACATATTAGTACAACACACATCAGAGGAAACTAGTGAGTTGAGGCCAATGAAACAAACAAATCAACAATAGCAAAGTTTACTGGTAGGGTCCACTCTTCCTGCTCTTTGCATCTATGCTACCTCTTTTTCTCTGTAGTCTTTGCCATAAGCCAGTGTCTTCAACATTGCCAAACCCTGAGAAAGCTGTTTATGCTGCTGCCAGAAATCTTGGTGGATCAAATACATTGCTAAACATGTAAAAACTATGTCTGGCTGTGCCAAGTTCCTTATAACCTCATGAACTCAATACCTCAACTCTTTAGTGGCCAAAAACAGACAGAACATCCCTGCCCTGATGTATTTTTCAAGGACCTTTAGGCAAATTCCAAATATAGGTTCAGATCAATGAACCAACACTATAAACTCAAAACTAGTACATTTAAATGGAAAATTTTAATTAAGAAAGGAATAACTCAATATTTAGTACATGGCTGGTTTAGGTATAATCACATTCAATATCATATTCATGAATGGAATTGAAGGTTTACAATTAGAGACTTCTTGCTCAGAAATTAAATTTTTTATATTGTTTGAAAGTTTCATACATGCATTCAATGCATTTTTATCAAATCTATCTCTACTTCCTCATCCATAATTCCTTCCCTACATATAACCCACCACTTATTCCTCCCCTGTTCATGTCCTCTCTATTTTTCTTTTAAAGTTACTGAATCCACTTAGTGTTGTTTATATATGCTTGAGCATGGGTACTTCTACTGAAGCACGGTAGTTGTTCTGTGGCTGCATCCCTGAAGATAACTTATTATTTCTACCCCAGAAGCTGTCAATTGTTATCAGCTTCTCAGCTAGTGGTAAGACTTCATGGTTCATCTCCTCTGGTCATGCTTGAGTTTTGGCTGGCTTGATCTTGTGTAGGTATTGTGCTATAATTGGTAAAATGAGAACATTTTGAGTTCATTAAAATTCAAAACTTCAACAAATAGCTACAGACACTACATCGGGTGTATTAGATCTAAGTTTTTTATCCTTCCTTTGCCCTATGACATTTATTTTCTCATACAAATGCATTCCCTTTCTCTTTCTTTAAAATTAATTTTGACATTCCCCTTTCATTTGCATTGTTACTGAAGAATTCTTGCTAGTGTTTGGACAGAAGAAAATAAGGTGCCATCCCTGTGTGTCACCTTTCCATAGGATATTTCCTTCACATCTCCATAATAGCCATTATGTAAGGATAATAATTGGGCAGTTATTAGGGATGAGAATAAAATAAACTTCAGTCATCTGAGAAAGTATTATATGCTTTCCTATTTCACACTCAATTCAAGTTCTACACTTTAAAAGCTGTTTGAATATTAACATAAAACTAGTTCAATCATTAGATAAAAGTAAATATGCAATGAATATGAACAAAGTCCCATTATATACATACATGAATACATTACAATGTAACTCATTATTTATTACACTAAAATAAAAAAATACATTTTTAAAGAAAAATGTGAAAATTTTTTGGTGGAATTTCAAAGAATGGAAAATTCATTTTTTGTACTCACTTTCCCAACCTTGCCCCAAAGTAGTTTGCTGTCACTTAGTCCGGGCTTGATAAGTGTGCATAAACTTAGATGTCAGAAGGAGCGAGATTGACAAGTTTTCTCAGTGCTTCCTTCACATCTTTATTCCTCAGACTGTAGATCATGGGGTTCAACATGGGGAATAATACAGTATAAAAGGTAGACACCATTTTGTCCCTCTCTAGGGAGTAACTGGAACTTGGACGAGAGTAGATATAGAGGATGGAGCCATAGTACAAGGTTACAGAGATGATGTGGGAGGAGCAGGTGGAGAAGGCCTTGGAGGCGGCCCTGGGTGGAGCGGATTCTCAGGATGGCAGCAATGATGAAGAGATAAGAGGCCAAGATGAGCAGAGTGGGAGTAATGACATTTGAGGCTAGGAGGAAGTACAGCACAGACTGGTAACTCTCCCTGACATCACATGCCAGCTTTATGAGAGGTGGAACATCACAGAAAAAGTCATCAATGACATTGTCACCACAAAAGTCCAATGTGAATGTGTTGCTAGTTAATATAACTGCATTGACAAATCCTCCTGTATAGGAATACACAACCAAAGAGATGCACAACTTCCTTGACATGGCTTGAGCATAAAGCAGGGGGTTGGAGATGGCTGCATAGCGATCATAAGCCATGGCAGCCAGTAGGTAGCATTCACTATAGGCCAATCCGGCAGAGAAGAAGAACTGAGACAGACATCCAGCAAAGGAGATGCTTTTGTTTTCAGAGATGCAGGTCACTAGGATCTTTGGAGTATAGACAGAGGAATACCAGAGATCCAGAAAAGACAGATTTCCAATGAAGAAATACATCGGTGTGTGGAGCCTGGAGTCATTGCAGATCAATATGATGAGGGTAGTGTTTCCTAGTAATGTCAGAGAATATACTCCAAGGAACAGGACAAAAAGGAACATTTGCATTACCGGGTCTGTTGAGAAGCCCAGCAAGATGAACTCAGTCACTGTGTGATTTCCCCTCTCCATGCCTCAAGGAGCTTGCACCTGGGAGTACAGAAGAGCTTACCTGTCTCTATCAGTATGAAATGTGGATATTGTTTTTGATAAGATCCTGTAACATAATCAGCACCAGTGTGAAAACTTACATTTCTTTGTAGGCAATAGGAATCTCCAGGTTTAAATATAATAATTTCAAAGAATGAAATAATAAGAATGTGTCTACATGTGGTAGCCCCTTCTTTAATCCCAATAGTAGAAAAAATAGAAGCAGAATAGTTGAAACAAATTTGATTTTTGCTCAAGCTACCTAGTAAGTTCAAGGATAGCTGGATTCAAAGTGTGAGATACAGATTGGAAAACTCAAAAGTAATACTGATATAGAGGATGAGGAGGAGGAGGAAGACTGGTTACAAAATTTCACTGACTAGGTGAAAGATATTTGTCCGTCTTCCAAATGAAAAAAATACAATATTTCTTCAAATTTCTGCTGAAATGGGTAACCAGAAAACCTGTCTTATCTGTGGATATGAGAAGGCTCAGCAAGCCTGCTGACCTGAATTCTATTCCAAAATTTATGCAAAGGTGAAAGGAGATAAAGAATGCCACAGGTTGTCCTCTGATCTCTACACCCATTCTAGTAGCATGTATGCTCACACACCATCAGCACACACACACCAAAAAGAAATTCATATTTTAAAAAATAAAAAAGGAGGAGATGGAGAGATGGCTTAGCAGTTAAGACCACCAGCTGATCTTCTAGATGACACAGATTAGATTCTTAGCCACCCACATTGTGGCTGGCAATCATCTGTACCTCCAGTTCCTGGGGATCCAACACACTCTTCTGATGGTCAATGGATATACATGAAGGCAAAACACCGATATACATAAAATACCAGCATGACATAATAACCTAAGAGTTCAGTGGTAACACAAGTAACTTGGTGGTAACCAACAGCTCTCTAATTGAACTGTTCAACAAGACAGAAACCAAGCCCAAAACTGGAAACCTTCACTAAGTGCTAGTGAAGTCATGGATCTTGAAGGAGAGTCTATATCTACTATTTTACTAAACCAACAAAATCCCTAACATCAATCTAAACATTTGTCCTTATGCCTATAGAAAAATGTAGTCCTCACCCTCATCAAGGAAAATTCTCTTTGCAACAGAAGGAGATCACTACAGAAAACCACACCAATCAAAATGCAGATTTGTGGAGCCCAGTCCCAATGTCTACATCTAAGACATATTCCCACACCTAAGGCTCCAGGAACATTGTGGAAGAAGGAAAGAAAGATTGTAAGAGCCAGAGGATCAGGGAGCTTGCTGTAAGATTGTGTCTCATAATAATATCAGAAGATACTCCATAAAATCTCATTAGCATGACTGCCTGAACATGAGATGAACAAGAACAACAGACATGCCATCTTGAGGCCTCAGCCCTACAAAAAGAACTACAGGCAGTTGAATGGGCTGAGAATGGAAGAAACAGTCTGGCCAGGGAAGAGTCCACCAGTTGTCTGTACACTACCAAATGCTCAGGCCTGAAAACATGCATACAATAACATTATACAGACTGAGCAGTTTGTATATATTCCTAAATATATATATGCATGTAATAACAGTTAATGAGAAAAGAGGCTATGAATTTGACTACATTATATACTATAAATACTTGAAAAATGAATGTGTAAACGTGCTGCATAGTATTATAACTTTCAAAAATATGAACCATGAGTAGGGCTATGTTTTAATGCGATGCTAAGAATTTCTATAATTATGATCTCAGATAGCTTACTTACATAGTCCTAATCTGATTTTTCTGTACGATATAGGTGATAACAATTTCTTCCTATGGTTACAGGAACATTTAAATGGAATATCACAAATAAAGTCTTTAGTAAATCATCATTCAAAATACCTGCCATAAGATGTCACACAGTTGGAATATGGTGATATTGTCTTTTTATTTAAAATGTTGCAGTTGGTCAGATTTTCACTTGCTATCTTCTTTCTGACCTCTTGATGTACTTCAACTTGTCTATCAGCATTCGTTTTCCTTTCTGTCACTCCTTCTTCTTCACTATCATCTTCATACATAGTAACCTAACCAGAGCCACAACCCTCCCTATTGACCCTGGCATGCCTATTTTTCTTCATGGAACTATTATTGTAGAACAAGTAATTAACTGCATAGAGCTATGTTCCTTTGAGATTCAGAATATAATTCTTATTACTTGGAAAGCAAAGAGTACAAGTTACCCTGGGCTACAAGTTGAAAAATAGAGCATGTATTTTCTTGAGGTTGAGGTTTCCTTTGACACTTGGTGCATGAGATAAAGACTGGCTTTGAACGAACCTCAGGCTTATATAAGTAGGAACAAGAAAACCATGGTAATTGGCAGCATATACTAGGCAGTCTGTGTGACAGCCTTTCTAACAAAACAGTCATGCATTTGTATTACTATCTAGAAATGATAGTAATTTATATCTGTTTTCCATTAAAAATGACTAAAATACAGTCTTTTGCCTTTAAAGATTGTTTTTTATTGTCAGAATTCATCTAAACTAAGTTTATGATTGAAACTTCTATAAAGAATAGCCTGTAAAAGCAGCTTTAAACGTTTCTTGATTCACTTTGTCCCAGACCACTAATCTCTGCTACTTTATTCTCCTATCTCATTTGCTCTTGAGATATCCTGAGGATGGCTCTTGGGTTATGGCTCCTGTATTGCTTATTTGTACCAGTAGTATCTTCTCCTGAAAAATTTCCATTATTGTCACTTGCTTTTTTTTCTTTTTGCCTCTAATGATATGAAATTCTTCTTCTCTAATAAAACTATCAGCAGTTTCAAAAGTGGAAATGGAAAGTTGATTAAGATTTCTCCTTCTCTAGCACTTACCACATATTTTTATCAAAAAGCCATTTTAGAAGCAAATACAAATAAAAAATAAATAGGAATTTACAAAGCTTACCTAGTTTTCAGCAACAACATCATCTTATCTGCCTATCTTTTACCCCAAATCTTTTATGTCAGCTCTGGATTCCCAGAGTTGTAGATTGCTGAAAGCCCTCAGGATTTCACAGCCTGCAGGGAAGGAACTCAGAGGACAATTAAAACTGTATGCTGATAAATTGGGTATTCTTGAGTATGATGGAGAAAAGTTTTTGGTGACTATGTTACCCTCATGAAAAAAATAAATCAATCATGAATTCTTTCTCATTCTCCTTTAATTTGCATAGATAATCTAATACAAATGCATATTTATATACTTTAGATATTCATGTGCATAAATATAAATATAAATATCAATTTATACATTTCCCTCCATGGTGATATTTCTGTTTGTTATCTCTCCAAGTATATTCTACAGTTTTCTAATATTTTATATCATCATGTGAGCTGTCTTAATCAATTACAGGGATTCTATACTGTCTGTCTACCTATGAGTTTATGGGTGTCAATGTCAGGGTGAAGGGTAAAAGGTGGAGGTTTTCCCCAGGTTCCTTACCTGAATATGTGCTAGAGTAGGTGCAGCCCTGGACTTTGACAATGGATACTAACAGCTTAGCCTTTTACAAGGATCTCTCTTCTATGCCCATAACATTTTTTCCCTATACCTTTAAAGATATAGGTCATAGGAACTCTCAATGGATAAGTCTCATAATTATTACACAATTATTTCTGAACTCACTACAACATAGATATTCCTTTATAGGACTTTTCATTCTTTGTTTTGAGGATTTGGTTTTTATTATAATTTTTTATTTTTGGAAATTTCATAATGACATATAATCATATCTATTCTCCAATTTCCTTCCTACACCTTCCCCAGTATGCCCCTTAGCATATGCCTGTCTCAACTTTTGATCTTTTTTTATAACTTACTAAGTCAACTAATGCTATATATATACATACATACATACATACATACATACATACACACACACACGCACACACACACACACACACACACACACACACACATATATATATATATATATATATATATATATATATATATATATATATATATGTATATGGATGTGGTCTCATGACCTGGGACATGAGAAATTTATCAATGGGAACACTCTCAGAAAGAATGTTATTCCCCTTTCCAGCAGGTGTCTGCTGCTAATAGCTTCTCATTAAGAACTAGAATATGAAAAGTCTCTCCTCCATCTAAGATGAAAGGTTTGTTAATTATTCTTGAAAAGGTCTTATGCTAATAACCACAGCTACTAAGAGTTCACAAGTGTGATATATCTGTCACATACAGAGACCACCATTTGCCACATCAATCTATATCCTACAGCTCTTACATTCCTTCTGCTTCTTCTTCTATGATGGTCCCTGAGCCTTGGCAGGGTGGGGGTGGTTGTGTAAATGATGTCCCATTTCCAGCTAAGCTCTCCAGTCTCTTTTTCTTAGAACTTTGACTGATTCTATGTCTCTGTAACAGTTTTTTAACAAAACTTTACTTAAATGAACTTATTTGGTGGGTCATATAGTTCTATCTGGTTTATAAGTGAAAATATTCCTAGAAGGAGTTCATGGAGATACAACTCAAATGCAATTTTCCCCACATTTTTGATGATTATGTGGAGAAGCCTTATTGGAGAGAAATGAAATAGATGATCTTTATAACTTAGTAGCATCAAACTTACTTAAAATACATCATCATGGTATAAAAGATCCATGAAAGACACTGAGATCTACCTTTCTCGGATAATGTACATTAATTTAGATTAGAAATCTTATGTAGAGACTTCTCTGTCTTGTAAAGTACAACTATCTGACTATGAAGGATAAATAGGCATCTAAAACACAATCTCCCCAAATCTTTGAAAAAATATAAAACCAATGCTCTTGAATTGCAAAGTTATAATTAAAATAATTACTTAGCCTTCATAGGTGTAGTGTGAACAGTGCAAATGTGAAAATCTAATATCAATGTGACCCAAAGTTTTAAACATTTTGAGTGCTGATAGGCTACCATAAATTAAAAGTTCCCCACCTGATCT